CCTGACCAGGGCAGGGGTCACACTGCAACCGAGGTACGTGCCCTTGACTGAAATCAAACCCGTGTAACTCTTTGGTCTGCAAGCCACTCTATAACCGCTGAGCCAAACTGGCCAGGTCTTTTTTTCCTTAGATTTGAGAATTCTTCATATATTGCAGATATAAAGAAAGTATACAGCATGATGATTATACACCTTGTTGGTTATATAATTTGAAAATATGTTCTCCCAGTTTTTGTGTGTTGTCTTTTCACTTTTTTGATGATATATTTTGAAACACACATGATTTTAATTTTGATGAAGACCAGTTTGTGTGTTTTTTTCTTTTGATGTTTGTGCTTCTGCTATCAGATCTAAGAATTTTTAATCAAATCCAAGTTTTGATGATTTACTCTTTTGTTTTCCTCTAAGAATGTTTGATTTTAGCTCTTACAATTAGGCCTCTGACCCAGTTTGAGTTAATATTGTATATAGTGTATAGTAGGAGGTGTCCACCTTCATTTCTTTGCATATAGATATCCAGTTGTCCCAGTACCACTTGCTGAATAAATTATTCTTTCTCCACTGAATGGTCTTGGCAACCTTATTAAAAAGCAGTTGCGCCCTGGCCGGTTTGGTTCAGCGGTTAGAGCGTTGGCCTGTGGTCCTGAGAGACCCGGGTTCGGTTCCCGCTAAGGGCGCGTACCTCGGTTGCAGTTTGTCCCCGGCCCTGGTCGGTTGTGCGGGTGGCAGCCACTCAATGTGTTCCTTTCACATCGATGTTTCTCTCTCTCTCTCTGTTCCTCTCTCTCCCTCCCACTCTACCTGAACAAAAAAATGGAAAAATGTCCTCGGGTAAGGATAAAAAAAAAAAAGCAGTTGGAAAAAAAAAAAAAAAAGCAGTTGACCATAGATGTATAGTTTTAGTTAAACCCATAAATATATGGGTATAATTAAACATAAAATTACCATAGGACTCAGCATTTCCACTCCTAGATATATAGTCAGAAGAACTGAAAACAGATACTCAAACAAATACATGAATAACATGTCTATAGCAGCACCATGTATGATAGCCAAAAGGTAAAAACAACCCAAATGCCAACCAACAGATGGATGGATAAGCAAATTATTATATATAAACAAATTATTATATAAAATGAAATATTATTCAGTCATAAAAATAAATGAAGTACTGTTTCATGGTACAACATGCATGAACCTTGAAAACATGTTGAGTGAAAGAAGCCAGACACAAAAGATCACATATTGTATGAATCCATTTAAATGAAAAATTAGAATAGGTAAACCCATAGAAAGCTGATTGGTGGTTGCCAGGGCCTAGAGGGAGGGGGAACTGTTAATGCGTATAGAGTACAGGTTTCCTTTTGGGGTAATGAAGTACTTGGGGACTAGATAGAGGTGGTGGTTACAAAACATTGTGACTATACTTAAATGACACTAAATTGTTCACTTTAAAATGCCTGATTTTATGTCATATAAATATTACCTCAATTTTTAAAAGTATATATATTTAAAAAGGTTTTTTGGCCTTTCTCCCTTCTACTTCCCAGAAGTAATCTGTCTTCCCGTCTTTTTGGTATTTCTTTCTGTATTTAACTCTACGTTTTTCATTGTTTTCATATTTCTCAGTGTACTTATACTATTTTCTTTAGACTCACTAATCTAAAGACTGATAGGTAAGATTTAAGTTCTTTTTTGTTTTTTTGTTCAGATAGAGTGGGGAGGGGGAGAGAGAGAGAGAGAGAGAGAGAGAGAGAGAGAGAGGAGAGAGAGAAACATCGATGTGAAAGGGACACATCGAGTGGTTGCCACCCGCATGACCCAGCCAGGGCCGGGGACAAACTGCAACCGAGGTACATGCCCTTAGCAGGAACCGAACCCGGGTCTCTCTGGACCGCAGGCTGACGCTCTACCGCTGAGCCAAACTGGCCAGGGCAAGATTTAAGTTCTTTTATAGCACCTTAATTCTGCTTCATCTCCCCCCTTCTTATGCTTAAGGTAATATTCTGTGTTTAAATAATTGTGATACTGGTATAGTTTGCTGCTGAGTCAAATAGTATACCATTATTATGTTTCTCCTCAGAGAGAACTTTTTATTTTTCATGGAGTTAAAAAATTGCCCTATTTTTCCCCATTAGAATGCTGATAAAGAAACTAAGCAAAATCTTCCTATACTTTTCTCTCAACCTGTTGATACAATTTTTTACTCTGCCAGTGTGTCAAATTACCTGTCAATCTACTTGTTTTCCTGGAGCCTTTTGTCTTCTTGTTAAAATCTAAATAGGTAGCTCATTATAATAGCCTGCTACACAGCTATGATCCTCGACATTTCTTTGACTCCTGCATTGAATCTCCTATTTCTGTATCCCATGTCTTCTCTCTTGGTTTGCATCCTCATTTTGGTGGCACACATTCTCCAGTAGCTTCATGAGAAATAATACAAAAAAGGTAATTTCAGTGAGTATCTAAAACTACTTGTATTTTACCAACACATTGATTATTTGGCTGGGTAGAGATTTCTGGATTGAAATGAACTTTCTCTCAGAATTTTGAAAGCATTGTTCCATCTTCTAAGGTTACCATTGAGAATTTGATACTATTCTTCTTAATCTTTTGTATCTACCCCTCCCCTTTCTGAAAGCTTCAGAATCAAAATGATCTTTCTCTGTAGTCTTCTGAACTTTCACAATGGTGTGGTTTCTTTTCTTTCATTTTCCTGGGTATTTGATGGGCCCCTTGAGAATGTATCTTCCGTTATTTATTTGATAGTTCTCTCGGTTTTCTCAGTTTTCACTTTTTGGAGAAAACTTTAGCTCTCTGATTTAATCATCTTATTTTTAGGGGATTGACTCACCTCATTCCTTTTATTTTTAAGTTGTACATTTTTCTTTATTTTATTTTTTCCTTCTATTATTATTATTATTTTTTTAATAGTAAGGAAAGACTTTATTTGAAAAGATTTATTGGGGCAAGGGCTAGGGAGAGGCTTTTGCAATAGTAGGCCTTGAGACTTCTGCAATGGAGAGACAAATATTAGTGTTTGTTAAATGCTGTGACCAGAGATCTGCAAGTGTCTCTATTGTTTTGTTTTTAAAATATTTTTTATTGATTTTTAGAGAGAGAGGAAGGGAGGGGGAGAAGAGAGTGAAAGATTGATCGGCTGCCTCCTGCATGCCCTCTACCCCGGATTGAGCCTACAACCTGGGCATCTACCCTGAACGGGAATCAAAACTGGCAACTTTTCAGTGTACTGGACGAAGTCCAACCAATGAAGCCACGCCAGCCAGGGCTAAATTTTAATATTGTCTATCAAAATTTTAATTTCCAAGAGCTCACTTTTGTTTTCTCATTTTTTCTTCTTCCCTTACTTCCCTTTTCTTCCCCCTCACTCTACCCAGTTCCATTCCCCTTCTGCTTCTCTGCCTTCTTCTCCCTCCTCCACCCCTTTTCATCCTGTCCTTTTTCTCTCCCTTTCCTGTGCTTCTGTTCTTCCCCCTTTCTCCTCCAGCATCCTGTTCTTGCTACACTGGTGTTATATCTTCTCTTATCAATGAGGACATGAATTATGGAATTTACTAGTTTGTTATTCATTTACTTTGTTTCGCTTTTCTTCTGTGCTACATTCTCTGTTTCCTCCAAATTGCTTTTATCTGTTTACATTGTTTTCTGTTTTGTTTGTTTGTTTTTGTCTCTATTTGATGTCCATTCATCTTTATAGGCAAGGCTCTATAGAGCTGACTTGAAGCTCTGTATGCACGAGTAGACTGGTGGGCTTGTGGACTGGTGGATTTCACTGTAGTGACGAGCAGGGAGCCAATTTTTTGCTGAAGGGCACCCAAATATTAGTGTTTGTAAGTTCTTGGAGAGGCTGTTCTGTTCCTTAAAAGAATAAAGATCTTCTAGTATCTTCCATGTAAATTAAAATGATTCCTTAATCCATTATTTGTGAATTAAGGTATTTTAACATCACATTTCCTTGGACTAGTGCACAGCTCAGTTTATTCATTAAAATGAAAGAATTGGACTTGATCCTTTCTATCCCTAACCAATCTATAAATGTTTTGCTACAATTCCTATACAGCATAATATAAAGGTATTTAGTGTCTCAACATATATACAGTATATTAACCCACATGTTTGGTTTTTTTTTTCTTTCTACAAACATCCTGTACATGGCCCAGTGAAAGATTACTAATGCACCAGATATATATTGTGCCCTCTGGAGATATGACCTGTATATCAATAGCATATTATAGTTCAGAAACTATAAATGAGAATCAGACACATCTGCTTTGAATTGCAGCACCATCATATACAAGCTGTGTGACCTTCAGAAAGTCAAAATCCTCAAGCCTCAGTTTCCTCATTAATTCCTCTGCGTGTCTGACTCTATACTAGCACTGCAATGAGAGTCACAAATAAAAACAAAGTTTACTCCTTCGGTAGAGCTTCTGTTTATTGTACATTGTTATTAGCTATAATTATGTTTTAAAGCTCACATTTTATATCCTGACATTTCTGTGGTTAAAATGATGCTAATGTACTTTTGTGTCCATACCTATACTTTTAATGATTATTTCTTAAGAATATTATATGCATTGAGATTTTTTAAAAATCTAAACTTGAAATGTTAAAAGTTTAATGAACTATAATAGATTGGAACATTAACTAAAATATTATTTGTTTACCTCAATTTATTTGAGGGCCATGAATTCTTGAGAATACTGTTACAAGTATATAAATATTGCATCTTCAGCTTTATGCTATAATCTTTTGCTGATTGTTGTTTTTATATTATATCTCGCATTATAAGATATTAACATCTAAGTTTATGACTTGGGATTCCCAGGATACTGATTTTAAAAATACTGTAATGAAATTTTTGTGCTTCATAGATTTATAGAACTCAAGAAGATTCTTTTTATAATGCATGTTCTTGAATCAGTATGTCCCTAAGGGTAATAACGGATGCTTTCCTCTCTCTCAATGTCTCATTTTAGGGAAGCTGAAACCAACACTGGCATTCATGTCAGGAAAATTGAAGATTAAAGGAAATATGGCCCTAGCAATCAAACTGGAGAAGCTAATGAGTCAGATGCATGCCAAGCTGTGAAGGAAAAGAAAAAAAATGTTGATCTAAGCTCAAAAAGTAAAAGGGCTCAAAAGTTAAAATCTAATGTTTATTTTCTTCCCTGTTGTATTATAAGGATATCCATGTTTGTTCTGGAAAAAATAGAATTTCTGTATCTGTAAGACTTAAAACAGCTAGCAAAACCATAAACTTCATTAAGTAGAATTCTCAGACATTCTCTTTTTAATATTTTGTGAGTTTTGCTCTCTGAGCACTATAAACCATTTACCATCTTCTAAGAAAAGTATTGTGAGCATCCAATCAGATCAAGCAGTAAAGTAACATTTGCTCTTTTCAGAGCTTTTTCCCCTGTAAAATATGACTAGTCCTAAAATTTTTAATTTGGCATTATATACCAATGAAAATCTTAATGATATCTTAGATTTTTATATACTTACTTTAAAGAAGATAATCTATAATACATTTTCACAGGAATCACAAAATAAACTACTTAATACTATTTTAAAGACTAATGAAACAAAATCAGTTTTTCATTCGTTAACTAGCTTTCCAGGTATAAGTCAACTGTAGGAAAATATTATTAATGTAATTCAGCTAATATGTATCCTCATTTAAATTATATAAAAATGTCCTAAAATAAAAATTTTCTTCAGAAGTATGTACTTGGTTTTGAAATGAGAACATTAGAATAGATGGTTGTTACATGCTTAAATGTCTGCTGCCCAAATATTTTTAATGTTTTCATTGATTTTTGTAGAGAGAGAGGAAGGGAGAAAGAGATAGAAACATGGATGTTAGAGAGAAACATTGATCGGCCGCCTCCCGCATACATCCAGCCCGCAACCGCATGTGTCCTGACTAGGAATTGAACCGGGACCTCACGGTCCCTGGGATAGTGCTCAGTCCACTGAGTCACACTGGCTAGGCTGCTGCCCACTTTTTTGTGTTGAAGTCCTAACTTCTAGTACCTCAGAATGTGACTGTATTTGGAGATAAAGCCTTTAAAAGTGGTGATTAAATGAAAATGAGGCTATTAGGATGGGCCTTAAACCAATCTGGTTGACGTCCTTATAAGAAGAGGGAATTTGGGCACAAAAGAGAGACCAGGGACGCACACTCCGAGGAAAGACCACGTGAGGACATGGCAAGAAGGTCATCTGCAAGTCAAGGAGAGAGGCTTCAGAGGAAACCAAATCTACTGGCACCTTGATCTTACACTTTTCCAGAACTGTAAGACATTTTTGTTGGTTTAGTCACCCATTCTGTGGTATTTTGTTCTGGCAGCCTTAGCAAACTAATACAATGGTTGGTTTATTTGTCTTTTTTAAAAAGCTAAACTTAAAAACAGTCCTTACCTTTCATTTTAATCAGTTAAAAATACTTGCTGAGTGTAATACTTTTACTTTCTCTTGTTCAGTTCTCTAATATTATTGTGCTGTTAAACAACTTAGCTAATTCTGACATTTCATATAGGATCATAATGTTAAGGGATTTAATGTGTATTTTATAAATGAGGAAACAAGATCAGAAATGGGAAGGGACTAGCTCAAGGCCAAAATTAACAAGCCCTATCCAACAAAAACTTCCCAGTACATTAGCCTTGAACAGAACTTGAAGTCCCCACCTCCCCCTCCATGAAGCCCAGATGGATTGACTGAGTTAGTAGCCTTATAACACCTTTGGCATGTCCCAGTCATTTCTAGCCACATGAGGATCTTGGTCCCGTGAGATGTTGCCAGCTGGAACTTTTTCTACTGAAGTTTTCTAAAGACTTTTCCCCTTTCTCTGTGTTCTGCAAATGGCCTCAAAGCTTTGGGAAATAAAAAGTTAAAAATATTTTTTTTATAAAAGTAGAAAATATTATGTGTCAGGAATTCTGGGTCTGGTCACTAAAACACATGAACTTGGGGGGAAAAAACCTTCCCACATTAGTAATTGAGGGAGTTGGATGAGGTCATCTGTAACCCCATTGCACTTCGAGGAAGTGCTGAGCAATCTGCAGTATTCTGTCAGAAGTCAAGGTGGTCACACCTACATTCCTGAAGCCTTCTCTCTTGCCTCATCCCCCAACTTACTTAATGACTCACTTGTATTCTCCATTTTTTGTATCTGCCCTTTACCAGTGTTGGAGTTGTAGATCCCCCCAGAAGTTTTGAATGGTTAGTTTGTGTGTTGTCTAGTAGCCAAATGAGCCCTATTTCTGAAACAATGGTATGGAGGGAGTCCTGGCTGGTGTGGCCTCGGTTGAGCGTCATCCCATGCACCAAAAGGTCTGTGGTTCAATTCCCTGTCAGGGCACATGCCTGAGTTGCAGGCTCCATCCCCAGTAGGGGGCATGCAAGAGGCAGCCAATCAATGTTGCTCTCTCACATCAATGTTTCTTCCTCTCCCTCTCTCTCTAAAATTAATAAAAACATATTTTAAAATATTTATAATAGTATAAAAGAATAATATGGAGGAAAATCATGCCATTGTGCTTTTTTAGTGATTGAGTGAAGTTATTTAGACATTATTTCTAAGATTGTTGCTAGTAATCCTATATTTCAACAAGTTGTCTTATACAGTGCCTCGTAATCCCCTAAATTTTCATCTGGGGCCCTGTAAATTAGACTAACAAAAGATAGATTAGCAAGAGAAAAACAAATAGAATTTATTAACATGTGAATTGTATACACATGCACACACACAGCAGCATTCAGATACGAGTAACTCAAAAGGATGGTTAAAACTTGAGCTTACCCGAGGCCAGTTTGGCTCAGTGGTTAGAGCATCAGCCTGCGGACAGGAGAGTCCCGGGTTTGGTTCCCGCTAGGGGCATGTACCTTGGTTGCAGTTTGTCCCCAGCCCCGGTTGGGGTTGTGTGGGTGGCAGCCAGTCAATGTGTCTCTCTCACATCAATGTTTCTCTCTCTCGTCCCCTCTCTCTTCCTCCCTCTCTATCTGAAGATAAGTGCAAAACAAATGTCCTCAGGTGAGGGTAAAAATAAATAAATAAATAAAAAAACTTGAGCTTATATATCATCTTAACAAATGAAGAATAAATTTTTAGAGAAGTTGCACAAAGAAAAGGGAATTTGCGTTTCTAATGTGGCAAGTTGTGTGAAGGAAAATATATGGATTATATAGTAAGAACATGTTCAGTTTTGTAAGAAACTACCAAACTGTCTTCCAAAGTGGCTGTACCATTTTGTATTCCCACCACCAATGAATGAGTGTTCCTGTTGCTCTACATCCTTGACAGCATTTGGCATTGTCAGTGCTGTGGATTTTGGCCATCTTAACAGGTGTGTAGTGGTATCTCGTTATTTTCATTTGCAGTTTTCTAATGACATATTATGTGTTCACATCTTTTCATATGCTTACTTGCCTCTCTATATTCTTTGGTGAAGTATCTGTTCCTGTATTTGGCCCATCTTTAAATCAGGTTTTCTTTTTGTTGTGTTTTAAGAGTTCTTTGTATATTTTGTAAAACAGTCCTTTGTCAGATATATCTTTTGCAGATATTTTTCTCCCAGCCCATGACTTGTTTTCTCATTCTTTTGACATTGTCTTTCACAGAGCAGAAGTCTTTCAATGTAAAGAAGTTCAGCTTATCAATCATTTCTTTCATGAATTGTGTCTTGTCTTGTATCTAAAAAGTCATTGCCTTACCCAAGGTCATCTAAGTTTTTATCCTATGTTATTTTCTTAGATCTGTGATCCATTTTGAGTAAATTAATTTTTGTAAAAGGAGTAAAGTCTTTGCTTAGATTTTTTTTTTTTTTTAATGTGGCTACCTAGTTGTTCCAGTACCATTTGTTGAAAAGACTATATCTTTGCTCTTTTTTCAAAGATTGGTTGACTATATGTCAGTCTATTTCTGGGCTCTCTCTTCTGTCCCATTGATCAGTTGTTTATTCTTTCACCAATATCAAACTACTTGGTTAGTATAGTTTTATAGTAAGTGTTTAAGTCAAGCAGTGTCAGTCTTCCAATTTTGTTCTCCTTCAATGTCGAATTAGCTATTTGGGGTCTTTTATCTCTTCATATAAACTTTAGAATCATTTTGTTGATCCACACAAAATAACTTGCTAGGATTTTGATTGGCATTTCACTGAATCTTTGTAACAGAGTTTAGGACAAATGGATGTCTTGACAATATTGAGGCTTCACATCCATTAACATGAAATAACCTCATTTATTAAGTTGTTCTTTGATATCTTTCATTAGAATTTTGTAGGTTTCCTTGTATAGATCTTATACATATTTTGTTAGATTTGTTTTTAAGTATTTCATTTTTGGGGTAATAATGTAAGTGGTAATGTGTTTTGTTTTTTTTGTTTTTTTATCCTCACCTGAGGATATTTTTCCATTTTTTGTACAGATAGAGTGGGAGGGAGAGAGAGGAAGGGAGAGAGAGAGAGAAACATCGACGTGAAGGGACACATCGAGTGGCTGCCACCCGCACGACCAACCAGGGCCGGGGACAAACTGCAACCGAAGTACGAGCCCTTAGCGGGAACCGAACCCGGGTCTCTCCGGACCGCAGGCCGACGCTCTAACCGCTGAGCCAAACCGGCCAGGGCTGGTAATGTGTTTTAAATTTCAAATTTCACTTGTTCATTGCTGGTATATAGGAAAGCGATTGGCTTTTGTATATTAACCTTGTATCCTACCACCTTGCTGTAATAATTTATTAGTTCCAGGAGGATTTTTTTGTCACTTGTTTCAGATTTTCTACAGAGACAATTATTTAATCTATGAACAGTTTTATTTTTTTCCTTCACAGTCTTTATAACTTTTATTTCTTTTTCTTGTGTTATTGCATTAGCTAGGACTTTCAGTGTGATATTGAAAAGTAATAGTGAGAGGGCACATCCTTGATCATGATCTTAGTGGAAAAGCTTCAAGATTCATTTATATTTTAGCAGGTGACTTCATTTCTTTTGTTAAAGCTGAATAATATTCTGTGTACATGCCACATTTTGTTTATCCATGCATCTATCCATGGACATTTGGGCTGCTTCCACCTCTTCTTGGCTATTGTGAATAATGCTGCACTGAACAGAATGTATAAATGTCTCAAGTTCCTTTACATTCTTGTGGTTCTAATTTCTCCACAGGATTACATCTTTGAAATATGTAGCAATTAACTGGTATTCTTATTTTTTTACATATATCATTTTGTCAAAATTTTTTTGCACAGATTTTTTTTTATTTAACCTAGACCAAAGGGAATGTTGATAGAGTCAGGTGTTAAGAATCCTTTCTCGCCCTGGCCAGTTTGGCTCAGCGGTTAGAGCGTCGGCCTGCGTCCGGAGAGACTCGGGTTTGGTTCCCGCTAAGGGCACGTACTTCGGTTGCAGTTTGTCCCCGGCCCTGGTTGGTCGTGCGGGTGGCAGCCACTCGATGTGTCCCTTCACGTCGATGTTTCTCTCTCTCTCTCCCTTCCTCTCTCTCCCTCCCACTCTAACTGTACAAAAAATGGAAAAATATCCTCAGGTGAGGATTAAAAAAAAAATCCTTCCTCCCTTGTTCAGTAGTCTCTTTCTCTGCCTCAGTCATATTCTTCTCTTCCCTACCTACCTCAAGGGTAGAAGTGACTGAGGTTTCCCTCTCAGAGTTCGGATGAGGCCAAGATGTGAACCCCACATGTGGCTAATCAGATATGCTCTAAATGTTATTTATTACCATTATTATTTTGGAGATGCCCAGTGCTGTAAGTAGACAGAATGTTAGGAACATGGACTCTGCAGCCAGACTACCTGGTATAAGTCTGGGTTCCTCCAGCTACAATATGATCTTGGGTAGATTCTTCATTTCTCCGTGCCTCAGTTTGCCCATCTATAAAATGCTAACACCCACTTCATAGAGCTTTTAGGATTAAATAAATATTCGCTAAGCACTTAGTGTAAACCCTGGGCATACAGTACATGCTCTGAAAGTGTTTGCTAGGTAAAATAAGGGTGGAGGGTGCCTGGTAACACGTTAGCAGGTTGTGCGGAGCGGTATCCCTGGTGTTATGATTTCCCAGTCTTAGTGCATATAAAGTGTTTTTAAGCGGCCTCACTCCTTCCAAGGGAAGGATGCTTGTGTTGCTGTTGGATTAGAAAATTCCACCAGGCAGCGGTGACTGGGTTGTACGTATGTCGGTGGAGGTGTCCCTGCACGTGCCTGGGTGTAAAATATGACTAGTGCGTTAGAACAGGTGCCACACACCTGTCCCACACGGAGCATGGTCTTGTAAAGAGGTCCACTCCTAGCTTTTAGGTGGAGCTGTAAGGAGCTCGGAGGGGTAGCAGGGACCGCAGCCCCGAGCGTGAGGCAAGATGG